CATTTTTTTTGCAATGAATAATCTATAATAACATTTTTAAAAATGGATAAAGCAAAACTGATATTTTAACAATTACCCTTCAATTTATTTAGATATAACAAAAAATCGTAGAAATGATATGATTGACATAGGTCAAAATATAATAAATTAATTGACATATTCGACAATACTTCTTTTAACAAAAAAGCTAACATGCTATAATATTTTGTTAACTAGAGATTGCATACGCATTGCGTGGATTTAAAAATAAATAGTGTATAATATGCAATAATTTCTAGCTTATTGACAATTTGTGTATTTAAAATTACAAAAATTTGATGTTTATAGTAACTAATTATCTAGATTAGAAGATTAAACATTTATAGCAAATTATTGGACATATACAATGTCATATGAAAAAAAGAAATATACTTTTCATAAAACTACAACATATAGAAGACATCTTCTTTGGCACAAGTCTCTAACTTGTATGCCTTCATCAATATTCACTACGATTCGATAAAAAAAAAATTATTGTCTTTTTCCTTGCATCAAACACATTTATAAAAAAAATTTTTTATTGATTAGAGAAGTTGTTATATGATTTTGATTTACCTTGACATATCCATCATCTCAACAAAGATGTTGGAATGTATCTTTGTGTTTATTTCAATAGAATTTTGAATCGTATTGAGAGAATAATTGATGTTTTATTGTATTTTTGTCTTATTCTCTTTAACGTTTTGCTATAATTTTTTTATCTTTAACATCGATTCATTGGTGAAGTGATTCTGTTTTTCTAGATTCACAATTTGTGGTGCATTAAGGTTTTTTCAAGAATCTTGGATAGAAGTGTTATGTCTAAAAGTTTCTCCAACCCAACACCATTTGCAACACCAAAATGGTGTAAACCCATTTTTTACACCATATTTATAAAAATGTCCTTCAAATTTTAATCAACTTAAAATTAATGAAAAACATATNCAAATTATGTTGGTTAAACCCAAAATGTAATATGTTTTGATAATAATTAAACAAAAGCTTAATATATTTTGTTATTTTATATGTTACAATGTATTTCTTTTATATAATAAATGTTATATTTAAATTATTTCATAATTTTTTTAACTTTAAAAAATAAGTGGGGTTGATTTGTAAATTTTAAAGAATTGAAAAAATAGAATCTATTAAGAATATTTTATTTTGGTGTAAAAATTGGTGTAAAATATTGTAGCAAAAC